GATCCGGTTCATAAGTCGAGGCGAGTTGAAAATGGCCGCGGACCACGTGGAACGGGTGGAAAATGGCCACGGATCCGGTTCATAAGTCGAGGCGAGTTGAAAATGGCCGCGGACCACGTGGAACGGGTGGAAAATGGCCACGGATCCGGTTCATAAGTCGAGGCGAGTTCGCAAGTCGAGGGAAATTTTTGGGGCCGGAGCTGGTTGTATCTCGAAAAATTCGTAAGGAGGGGTGTTCGTAACTAGAGGTACCACTGTACATGCCCAATGATGACATCATCCAGATGCTGCCATTACTTTGTGTTCTGACAAAATACTTACTGTGTGATGCTGTACTACATTTATATTTTTTGGTGAGCAAGAGTTTGCCAAAGCTAATTATTGCTAGTCTCATTCATGTTCTCAGCCAAGGAAAAAAACATTGACAAGAGATTGCTTCCTGAAGAAATATTTCTAACATGGCCTTCTTGTCATGTGATAGCCAATTCTATTTGTAAAACTCAGTGGCAGGAAAGAAGTTCCTTATTTTAAAAAAGGAAACAGCCTACTTGACTCCTGGTTTGCTATGTCTCTCCATCTTCACTCCTTATTGTATGTGTGTGTATGCGTGTCTGTGTATGTAACTATGGAGGGATGAAACTTGTGTTGGACCTTCTTGAGAGGAATATATGTCAGGGGAAATAAGGGACAACTTACCCATAGTGTCCTTTTTTGTAATCCTGAACTCATTCATCTCTTTCTTACAGCCAGGCCCATATTGAGGAGGCCAGGCAACAGCTCCAAAAGCAACCAGTGGTGGGACAATGGAAGCCTCTTGCAACAACTAACAGAGGGCAAGAGTTACAACCCTCAGAGCCTTCTGTCAAGAGCCTGGCAGGTGGGGATGAGAACCAGTCAGTGGCACAATTGAATGTCTCCCGCTTGCGCAGCTCCTCAGTAGAAATCCGTGAGAAGGGCTCTGAGTTCCTGAAAGAGGAGCTCCATAGAGCTCAGAAGGTAAGGTGTGAGGTTAAGAAGGGATGGCGAATTTGGCCACTAGCCCAAAACCTACCTGTTGGCAGGTACAAGGCATATGCTCCGATGTTGTGGCTCAGGAGGTCTATAAGCTTCATCTGAATTGCGCACTGAGAAATAACTGTGTTTTTGTCCATCTGCATTAGGAAATTGATGCATGGGGAAATTGACATTTTGTCCTGCCGCTCTGCTTGTCTTTAGGTGTTTGTGAGCTCCTATACATTCATTCCATTCTATCAAAAACTACTTCATGCCAATTCAGTAGGCAGTTGCTGAGCAGGTAAAACACTAGAATACCATTAGGAAATTAAAAAAGAAAACCAGATGATTTATTTTACAGTATTCCATCTTTTTTTCTACTGTGTTTTTACTGTATAACATACGATTTCCCGCATACTCTGTGTGAGTTCATACATATATTATACAAGGCCATTTTATATTTCTGATTTTGGTGGTTTTCTAAGTAGAGCTTGGACGAAATGTCCATTTCTGAACTTGGTTTCATGAGTCTGATGCTCTTACAGAACCCTTACTGCTTCCTATTCATAAATGATGATCTGTTGCTTTTGAAGCATGGACCACTATGTCATATCGATTCTGGATAGTCTAGACTGCAGAACTGATAGGCTACAAGGCTAGTGTTTTCCATAACAAAGTATCAGAACTGGAATTTGGGGTGACACACTTCCCACCTTGTGCTGATCTAGGCAAACAAGAATTCCAATCTGTTGCTTCTCTAGATCCCAGACTCTGATTTGACACCTGTTTTTCTTCCCCCTCTTTCCAGCTCATATGGTCTGGCTCTGGATCACAGCTGAAGAGTTTAGGTAGTCAGCTGAGTGTCTCATGTTGCCTCTGGTTGCCCCTAGGGCGGCCCAAATTAGGGTGTGCTGTTTTGTGGGTTTATTTTCTTTATACTCATATATTTGACAACCTGAAGTGGAAGTGGTAGGAAAGTGGAGCCTAAGCTCCATACTTTCTAAGCCCTATGTCCACATCCAGCTTTTGCCATTGCCTTCTTTAGTAAAGATTTTTGGCTAGCAGGCCCACTAAACTTTTTGCTTGAGGGTTTGGAAAACTACTTTCAGTTATGATGGAGAACACTGAAGTGGATGGGCTGTTGACAAGTTTCACCGTAGGGTAGTTCTGTGTGTGTGTGTGTGTGTGAACTAGAATGCCTATAGGGAGTCATTATCTCTTGCGTTCCCCCTCTGCAGGAGTTAAAGTTGAAGGATGAAGAATGTGAGAGACTCTCCAAAGTCAGGGAGCAGCTGGAGCAGGAACTGGAGGAGCTGACAGCAAGCTTGTTTGAGGTATTGGCACTTTCTTAACTTGAACTTGGTACCCAAATCCTGAAGAAGATGGTGTGCATCCTTTAGAAATCAAGTCCAAAGTTGAGCTTAAGTAATCAGCGTACACCTTTGAAGACATCTATATGGGCATCAGAATCCATGCATCTCTTCTCACCCACAAAATATGCTCTGATAGTCTTTTGAAAGCCATGCTTGTCAAAAGAGCAGAATTGCATGTTGGCTTTTTTTTTTTTCTGGGCTCCATTATTTCAGATTATGCATGTTTTAATAATTTACCATAAGCAGTCCCCTTATAGGAAACAAACATGTTGACCCTGGTTATTTCCTGGAACTGTATACTTTATATGTCCAGAAGAGCTTTACTGTGTAGGAGCAGTAAAGCTTGTATTCCACTAGAAGAAGTTAGATCCAGCAAAAGCCACACCATGTTGTTTCTTTGATTATGTAGGCCAGCACTAACAGGAACTGGGTGTTTGCAAAAGAACACTGTCTCCTCAGTTAGCAGAGCAACCATTACTCTTTCCCTAAAGTCAGCAGCATCCGAGCTGGTGCCTTTTCTGTCTCGTTACCCTGATGGGTTCTGTTCCGCATAGGAATGAAGATCTCTCATTTTGCATGGATGCATAGCTTTTTTCTGGGGGGTGCGGCTATCCATCCATGGGCCTCTCTGGGTCAGAGAGGTATGCAAGCCGTACTTTTGCTATTGAACACTAGCTAAGGATGAGTGAGAAATTTACTCAGTTCACATATTTCAGGGAATTTACCTAGTTTGCTCTTTCTGAATTCTTATGTGAACTGAAATGCTGAAATTTGGAGTTTGTGATGCACTTTGGAACTAAAAAAAAAATGGAAGGATATGCTGTAATGTTTCATAAGGGGAAAAATGTATTGTAAAAATGTACACAAAATTTTGTGGAGTTTTTTTTTTAAATCAAAATTGCAAACTGGCCATAGTAGGCCAAATTTCACTCAGGCTGGAAAAATGAAACATGGAATATAATGTAAGTGGATTGATTTGCTCTAACTTTGAACAAACTTGAGAGTAGAGAGGTCGGCCTCTGCAATCCACATCTAATACAGGTAGTCCTCACAACAGCCACAACTGGAATCGGCAACTCCATCACTAAGCAACGCAGTCGTTAAATGAAACATCACATGACCGCATCTGACTTATGTCACTTCTGCTGCGGTTGTTAAGCACGATGTCACGTGACTGCATCTTGCAACTTACTGCTAGCTTCTCCATTGACTTTGCTTGTCAGAAGCCAGCTGTGAAGGTCGCAAATGGTGATCATGTGACCACAGGGCGCTGCAACTGTTTTAATTCAAGGACCAGTCATAAACTTACTTTTTCAGTGCTGATGTAAGTTTGAATGGTCGCTAAACAGGACAGTCGTTATCCGAGGACTACCTGTATGTAAGTGTGTGGTGGAAAGGGAGGTTGTGCTCATCGGTTTGGCAAGATCTTATTGATAGAAGATACTCAAGGATAAGACAAGGTAGTTGTCTAATAAGTGCTATATGGCTTCAGCTGAATACTAAATATAAATTGAATACTGAATACTTTGTTTATTTTTAGTTTGTTTTTAGGAATTTTATGTTGTGTTCTTTCAAACAAATTCTCAAGGAAGATTAAGAAAATTACAGTAAAACATGCAAGCAGAACTCCACATATTATAAAAGTAGTTTAAAATTGTCAATCAAACATAAAGCTCTTTGTGTGGCCTGCACACTCTAAATCATGTGAGGACCTAATTTTTTGTATTGGTGAAGGGGCTGGACTAAGAATAAGGATTGGCAATGACTTTTCAGCTAAGAGGATTTACAGTATATCAGCCCTATCCTCTCAAAATTCCAAAGTATTCTATGGCAGCCCCCATTTAGGTCTGATGAATAAAAGATATGTCTCAGTCCAGTATTTTTTTTTAAACCTTGTAATTAAAATATTGGGTGTATTTTGGTTGTCCAGAAGAAAAAGGCCCCAGAAGAGGAACTGTCACCTGAGAACATATGGTACGTATTGCCATCAGGGAAAAATTGCCATATTATATGATAACCACACCTGTACTTTCCACTGCTTTTTATGGTACTGCAAACCACGTGCACAGCTGCCACCAATTTGTAGTACATAAAAGTGATGGATATGACGACAGAAGACAAACAGCAAAAATTAACCTTTGGAGAAGAAAATGGATGGAATGTTTAAAAAATTCAGGCTTTAATCTCAATGTTCCTACTTTCCATGTACTAATTTTCCACCTTCCACGCTCATTTTCCACCTTACCCTTTCCTCATGAAGCCTGCAGCACATTCTTCAGGACTCACCGATCACCACTGATCCTGAGAAAAGGTGTGCACCCCTGCTCTATGTGATTAAATGTTCCTTATTTTAATGTGGTTTTTCTAGAAGAGTCCCACATATGTTTGTGTTGGTTCTTACCGGTGGCAGTTTGGGAACAGACATGCTTTGACAGGTGGACCTCCATTCCATCTTCTTCTTTAAAAATTGGTCTTGTCATTTTTGAGAACCTGATTGTCTTGTACAAAAGTGTGTAACTCCTTATATTTTGTGCTGTCTGCCGCAGGAAGCCCACAAGATGGTTCGGGAGGCAAACACCAAGCAAGCGGCATCAGAAAAGCAGCTGAGGGAGGCCCAAGGGAAGGTGAAGGAATCCATTTCATACATTGCCTCCATTTGTACAGTTGTGGCGACTACAAGACCATATCTACTGAGCATATCCCCAAAGTCCATGAGCCTGACACTGAAAGGGAAACTTTAGATATGGGCTCTCCACATGATCTGGATAGCAGACCTGCTTGTAATAGTTCCCAACTGTGTGAAGAGAGTGTGTATGCATACACAAGTGCTGGAGCAGGCTTTTCTTTTCAGATGGGTCATGCAGGTAGTCGGGACTATTTGGGTGTAGAACATTTAACGCAGTTCCTTTCCTCTTCCTTGTTGGAGGCCACAGGTCAAAAAGTCTTTTACATGGCAAAGTAGTCCAAATCAAGCAGTTTCACAGGAGCAGGAAAGCAAATGTTGGATCATACAAAGGTGTTTCGGAGGGGTATTTTTAAAATGCATTGTCAGCCTGTTGCCTCAGTGCTAATAACTGTAACAAAGCCCAAGCTGTTGGGACATGTTTCCTCAGTGAGTGCTTGTGAGGATTGATGATAAAGCAATTAAAAAAAAAAAAGCAGAGTTTGTAACAACTTCAGAAAAATGAAAACAAAACAGCTAAACATAAATGCACTCCAATCAAAAAGGGGAATCCTCTGAAATCAAAGACCTGAATTTTGCTGAAGCGGGAGAGTTGTCTCTCGCTGTCTGAAAGCTCATGTTATTTCACGTGTTTTGGGAAGCAGAGATGTAAAATGCTTTCCATGCAATTCTGGCGGTCCCAGCTCAGAAACAAGTCCTGCTGAGTTTGCTGGGAGCGTAGGGTTGCAGCCTTAGTTGGCATGGCAAGACCAGAAACAGAGGGGCGCCCCAGTGCCTTGACACCAGCCAGAGTTCGGAGCGTATGCAGAAGGCAGAGAAGAGATCAGACCAAAATGTTCTACTTGCTGAAGTGGAGACTGATTTGTAACAGAAGACCGTTTAGCTCCGGTCTAGCAGTTATACATTCAGAAACACATCCGTGCAAAAAAAAAGAAAAGAAAAGGACCAGTTAGCATAATCTAGTAATACATTGTCTGAAGGAACAGGATAAAGCCTAGCTGTTGGATCCATTGTGAAATTGCCCTTAATGTCAACACCTTCATCTTAATCTTCATCCCCAAACTATCCATGGTAACAAGCCAAATAGGTCTCATCCCATCCTCTGGGGGAGCAGAGAATAAGTCTTTGCCTCCAGCGTGAGAAGCCTTCAGGTATTTGAAGAGTCTCATCCAACCAGTTTGTGCAGGAGAGGGGATACCAAAGATTAGTAATTTCTCACTGATACATCAGCTTCCACAATCCGTTTCTTGATAACTTTAGAAGAACTTGCTGAACTGGAACTTCTTGTGTATTCAGAAACTCGGAGGCACAGCTAAGGATTTGTGAAAGGGATTTGTAGCTGTGGAGTAAGAGGCTGCCATTGTAGTGTGATTATATAGCGCCATCTGTTGGTAGAGCTGAAGCGAATCACCTGAAGGGCTTTCTGTGCTGGGAAGGGAAATCAAGAGTGTGGCCTTCTTTGCATAAGCCTGTTTTGTCAGTATTTGTATAAATAAAAAATCTGCACCAAGAAAACTAGATATTTGTATATATGTAACTAATAGTATGCAAATCTGTATATGTCCTATCCTTTCACTATATTTAGTACTCTTGGTAGTTAGGATCTGGGGGGAAAAGTCTCTATAAAGCCTATATACTTAACCTTTGGGAATTGTCCAAGGAAATAAGAGCTACATGTAATTTAGAGGAATTAGACCTAGTAGCGCCTGAACTCAGCTTCCTGTTTGCTTCAAAGAAGAGTCATGACTGAGTGGTTTAGTGAGCCATTAAATGTTCTCCTGGACATGGCATAATCCTGGGACTAAGGCTTTGCTGATCATTGCTAATGGCTCTTTGTATCCCGCCAGATTGACATGCTGCAAGCAGAGGTGACAGCCTTGAAGACACTGGTGATAACGTCAACTCCTTCTTCTCCAAATCGGGAGCTGCACCCACAGCTTCAGAGCCCCACCAAAACAGCCTTCAGGAAGGGACATGGACGCAACAAGAGCACCAGCAGCACGGGTGCAATCACAGTTGCTGGCCAGAATGCACCCCAGGAGCCAGTCAACAGTGAATTCAAAGAGGTGGGTAAATGTGATCAGTCAGCAGTCTAGCTTGACGCCCTGGGAGGAAGCAAAATATTATCAGCTACACTATGTGTGTGTGTGTGATGGGGAAATGGAGTAAGATCAGGGATCTGGTGGAAAAGTTTGTTTTATCTTGCACTCACAGACCCTGCTTCATTGCAGAAAGTGATGAGGACTCTTTTATTGATCTACTTTGATTAATTCCATGGTTCTGGTTGGGTTCTTTTGGTGCACTAAGTCAGAGTCAAAGAAATAAGCAGTAATTATACTGTGACTGGGAGTGAAACAAGCTTAAATATAACTGGAGGCAGACATGAGAAGCATCCTGTTAGATCAAATCTTGTAGCTTCTGACCATGTTGGACTAGAGTTCCCAACATTGTTGGGGAATGGTAACTTGGTAATTCTGGGAGTTGCAGTCCCAGTACATCTGGAATAGACCAGCATTAAATACTGTGGCCACCTTTATGAAACTTCTAGGGTGGGATATTTCTGCCCAAGGTCTTTTATGTCTGAGGTCGTCTTCTTTCTAATCTTCTGTCCCTCTCACACCATTTTGCTTTCTCTCCTTGTCTTTATCCTCTTTTCCCCTTCTCTCTGCCCTTGTCACCTATCTGTCTTGCTCTCCCATTCCTTAAAGTCTGGGGTACCCACTCTCCTCTCCCTGCTGCTCTGTATCGTCCCTGCGAAGGCGATCCACATCACCTATGAGCCAGGCTGGCGGTTCCTGGCAGCAGACTCTCCTTTCTCCTCTCCTCTCTCGCGGCAGGTAATCTCTCTTAGGGTGGGGTGAAGTAGGGTAGTTCTGCGACTAGGAAGGTAGGCTCAGCTATTTGGTTACAGCACTGCCAACAAGATTGCTTTGGCTGGTGAAGGTGGTCATGAAAGTCTGAGGGGAGCTCTTCTTCCATACAGACTGTAAAGAGCCCTGTCCTCCTCCTCACATTGGCTAGATTAACTATCCATAGTAGGTGTCTCCAGAAAGGTTGGGATGCAACATCAAGCCAGGCTGGTTAGAAAGTTCTGAGAGTTGCAATCCCAATCAGTCTGGCTGGAGAAACTGGTTTAAATTATCTTGAGGAAGGATCAGTTCTTGGGACAAGAAATACTTTTTGGATGCACTAGCCTCTAAACACCTCCCCCTGTTCAGTTTTTTCTTTAATACTAACAGACATTTGTTTGTTGTTGTTTTTTTGTTTCTCTAAATGTTTCCCCCCCCCTTCCCCATATGGGTGCTCTGAAGTTGTTTCCTGGTCTCAGGTGAGCAATCTCTGTATCTTAGTGCTTCTATGTTGTCAGTAGAGACTTTTCCTTGGGGATGAGGAGCTTCATTCACTGCTACGTTCTCTTCATACTTCCCGACGTGTTTGTGTTTTGCTTTTTTTAAAAAAAATGTATAGTATGGGCAGGAGAGGAGGAAAAATCTTCCTCAAATATTCACCATTGGAACTTATTATAAACTTTTTAAAAATGCAGCTAGGCATGTCAGAATTTAGTTACTTCTGATTATCATGGTTCTGCCTTATATTCTGGAACTTTCTAACCCTCTCCAACATTTGGAACAGAACGTGCTGGGAATGGTTGGCAGTTTTCTATCTGAAAAGAGGTATTCATAGATTTTGAGGATTTGCCTTTATTTAAAACAAAGATCTTGCAGTTTTATGGCAGTTCTGTGGGCTCAGGTTGAAAAACCTAAAAGCTGAGAATGGATCCTTACCACAAATCAAACACAAGCATCTAACTTGGTCACCTTTGAAAAGGAGAACTTTCAAATTTATGGAAGATTGGAGAGTCAGTGGCTACCAGTCATGATTGCTGCATATTATGTCCAGTACTGGAATCAGAAATCCCAAATGTTTAGCAATTGCTAAAAGCAAGAGTGAAAGGGGGCTCTGCAGTCATGTCTTACTTGTTTCAGGTTTCCCAAAGGCATCAGGTAGAGCTTTGTGGGAGTAATCAGCATACTAGACTTAATCCACCACAGAATGTTTAAAATTCTTTTATTCTTAAAGGGTGTCTACAAAAGTCAAGCACGAATGTCTTCTTTATTGGCCCTGTTTGCCTGCTAATGCAAGCCATGGGTACTTAATCTTATTTATTTGCTTGTTTAAATATTTATTTACTTACATCTTCACTTACTTGTCAGATAAATTTATAGCCACCACAATTGACAAGACTCTCTGAACTTGTGAGTCTTCTCCCTGTAGTCCTTTGTCGGATGGATACACTACTAGAAAAGGGGACTCTTGCATTCTGCCTTTTCTTCCTAGTGTGTCTCATTTTGTAGCAGTCACAGATTCTTCAGAACCTAGAATGCTTCAGCTATGAATTGTTCCGGAATCGGGACCCTGATCCACACAACCAAGTAGCCATGCAGTCTTTTGGAAAAACCCATTTTCCTCAACATTGGTGAAGGGATGCTTGCTTCCTGGGATGGGAAGTGGGTTCCTTTTGGTGAAGTAGGGGGACAACTTTGCATTGGACTGAACTTCCCCTTCTTTTCATGGAAAAGCCATGGAATTTCCTTAATAGCTAACTTCCCATTCAGTGATAAAAGTTGTATGATTCAAAATACATATCACTGGTTTTGAACAGTTTAACTTTCATATTGGCAATAGTAATAAAGTTAAAGGAGAGGTATAGTTGAGCTGGCTAAGGTTTTCCTGCCCTTCTTCTGGACCTGTTGGAAACAACTGATTTGTCATAGAGAGAAGCAGGAGATTTTGCTTAGGCCCCACCCTCTTTCCTTGACATGCTGCTTGAGTATGAATGCAGATCACAACCTATACTAGGTTGCTTCCCCATAGAGAAGGAGGGAACTGATTTTCACACATGATATGGCATGTGAGTCCCTGTACACTCAAACCTTTATAGGCTAATGACTTTGGTTACATTATTGGGGTACTACTGTAATCTATTGATAGAGGATATATTGTCACCTGATGCTATTCCCTCTGTCATGCCCCTTTCTATAGTAACTGCAGCAGGAGGTAGAACTGCCTGTGGTTGGCACCTAAGTCACATTTATTCTACTTCTTTGTCTTACCAGCTGCCTAATGAACATGATGTATCCTTGGAGAATGTTTTGGATTTTGTAGAGGAATATCTACTTCCTTCTCTGTCTTTGTGTGTGTGTTTTTCTCTCTCTAGTTCTCTTCAATAGACTTCCATTTCATGATTTTCTGTCGCTGCAGATGGATTCCATCTTGTTTGCAGAATTCCAGGCTTGGAAGGAGTCTCCAACGCTGGATAAATCATGTTCTTTTCTCAAGAGGATTTACCATGAAGATGTAGGCCCTTGCCTGGACTTCACCAAGCATGAAGTCAGTTTAAAGATGAGTTGTTCAGAGATTTCTGAGAGATGAAGGTGCTGCTTCCTTGTTGACCTGAGTTCCTTGTGTTTGTTTTCTTTACTGCAGCTTTCAGAGCTGGTTCAGGCAGCTGTGGAGCAGAACACCCTTACCATTGAGCCAGTGGCTACCCAGGCATTGCCTGTAGTGAAGGTGTCAGCCATTGAATGTGGTGGACCAAAGTAAGCTCATAACAGCTTTCCAGCTGCTTTTTCTACTCCCCCTCTTCCTCCACAGATGCACCATTAGTCTCTAACGTGCTACAATTGCACTTGCCTTTGTAAGACATGGTCTTCTGTTTGGTTGTTCATGGAATCTGTTTTATTGAATTGTTGTGTATCTTTCCTTTCAGTTTGTACTATTTAGCTACTGTTTAGCATAAAAACCAGAAGAGAAACCAAAGGAGGGAAGGCATCAGTAATAGGAAAGGGGATCAGATTACAACAATATAAGTATTATTGGCAACAGTCAGTAGTTCTGCTGGCACTGAATTGACTTAGGAAGGAGTTACAAAGGATGATACCATCATTGAGAAAGCTAGCAAAGCTTGAGAAGGTTGTGGCAATTCAAATGGAGTGGTATAAATTGACTCCAGTATGCTGAGTTTGCACATATATCAGAAGAATCTTCCTCTGGCCCATAGTTTTGTAGGGACTTAGTTTTGTGGATACAGCTGTCGTCATGTTGTGGCCTGCAAGAAGCCTATTTCATTAGCTGTATTCTGATTATTCTTTTCTTGGACTCCAGCTGTGTCTGTTCAGTGTTCTGTCATCTTTTCCACATCTGTGTATAATCTGGCACATTTGAAGAAGGATTTGTACAAATGTTTGAATTGTTAGTGAATTGCTGAACTATTGTACTGTTATGGTTCTTTTTCTATCTGTGTGTACATACTTGTTGGAACCCTCTTCCCCTGTTTCTGACAGTAAGTTAATAAAGCAGATAAACAGAATTTAGGTTCTGCTGTGTCCCCATAAAAAAAGAAGTTTAGAATCTCGATGCTGGCATCAGTATCAGAAAGGCCCTGATTGTTGGAGCTGCTTTTCTGATCTTACATAAGGAGGTGGAGCTAAGCCCATGCATGGGCTATGTGAATTGTGATTGAAGAGTCTGTTTTTACCCTGTTTGGTGTTTCATGTATGTGTTGTTTTGTTTTCTGTTTTTTTGATGCTTTTATATTCTGATCACTGTTAACCAGCCAGTCACAAACTTGAGATGGGCAGCCATATAAATTGAATGAATGAATGAATGAATGAATGAATGAGTGAATGAGTGAATGAGTGAATGAATGACAGCATGATAGAAAAATAGGGCTTCTGGTCTCTACATTTGGAAGAATTTGCAGGGGAGAATACATTTCCTGGGGTCATCTCTTTTCTTTATGAGCAAAAACTGGGGCAGGTGAAAATTGTTTTATGCTGGTGCAAAGTAAGAACTTGACTGAAGGGAAAGGGATGCGTATCTTCCAGTCATGGAACTCAGACATTAAGTGAGCCTGTGAGATACGATTAATTATTGCTGATGGTTATCCCTTAAGAGCCAAGTGACATCAGGAGACAAGGCTTCAATAAAAGCCCCAACTTTTGTGAGCAGGAGATAAGAGATCCCTGCTCCTCATATGCTCCTGCAGAGAGGGGGGAAAAAACGTGCAGGATGAACATGAAGCATCAGTTCACCTTACAAAGTGGTTTGGGAGATAGATAAATAGATAGATGATAGATAGATAGATAGATAGATAGATAGATAGATAGATACATACATACATACATACATACATACATACATACATACATACATATGATTTGATCTCTACATCTACTATTTGTACACCACTCTGGGCAAAGGGTCCAAACTGGCTGGAGCTGCCCAACTGTTTTCTTCCATCAGACTGGAGGGCTACTAGGCAGTTCATCTGTTGTACAATTCCCCCCACCCATTGCAGGGTGGCCCACAAGAGAGAGTAATTACTTACTTTAGGCCCAAGAAGGGGTATGGACCAGTCTGCTGGGCTGGAAATAACTTATCCTTGAGACAGGTATTCTCTTGGCCCCATTTCTTTTAAAGCTTTAGGAATAGTGCAATCCAGAATTCTTCTACTCTGAGGTAGGTCTTGTTGGTTTAGTGATAGGTATAGGATTGAAGCCTAAATACTTTAGATGTTAATGTTCCTTCAGTGTGAGCTGTGCTTTATACATGCATACCACCATTAGTCCAAGAAGAATGAATGTTGCCATTTTCACCCTAATAGTAGTTTCAACTTCTTATTTCTTCTCACAGTGGGTTCCGGTCCCAAATTATAACGTAAGTTATTTCTTTTAAGCCAGTGAAAAGGTATTTACTCTATTATTAATAAGCTACTAACTCAAGTTGTTACTAACAGCTTTGAAATTGGTGCTATCAAATAATTTGTAAACATTTGGGACACTGACGGTACACCGTATAATCTTCAGTTACAACTGTCTTTAAAATGGTTGGTCTCCATTCCTGCACTACTGGATATATAAGCCCAGAGGGATATTTTTGGTTACTAACTGTCAACTTTCTCCTGTAATATTAACTTTACTTGGCTTTCTGAGTTGCTGGTACCTTCCCAAATTACATAGCTAGACTTTTTCAAATGTCAAACTTTAATGCAAGAAACTTTTAGCTGCCTACTGGTGGCCAAATAGTCAATTTTTCTTCTTTTCTGATTTTTTTTTAAAGTTACATTATTTATAAATATACAGAAAGAACAAGGACAACATGCAACAAATATGAATACTTTTAAAAGATACAATTGTTCTAAAATGCTTGTCTTCGTAATGATAATTGTGTTGATTCAGGGGAGGAAGAGCTGACAGAATGGAGGCACAGTATTTGTAAATGCATCTTTATGAGCCATCAATTTCTTAATATTTTTATTTCTAGTAAGGCCAAATTCCAAACTCTCTGCAACCCCTACAGCAACGACATGTTGAAACTGAATGCCAAGAAGTGTGCTTTTCAAGCAAGCTGCAAATAGCAAGAACAGAATCAAAGTTTGATTCAACAGAAATATTAATTAGCCTCCAAGATTAAAAACAAGAAGTAGAAGGGCTGCACAAAAACAAGCTATTTAAAAGGGTGGTTATAATTTAGATCAGTGTTTTTCAAACTTGGCAACTTTAAGATGTGTGGACTTCAACTCCCAGAATTCCCTAGCCAGCATGCTGGTGAATTCTGGGAGTTGAAGTCCACACATCTTAATGTTGCCAAGTTTGAAAAACACTGATTTAGATCCTCAGAGTTTTAGCTGGCAGAAAAGGAAGGTCTCCTCCCAGGAGATAATACTGTAATCCCTAATATGAAGGTGCCAAGTTTGCAGTCCATTTCTAAGAAGAGAAAATTGTACTGAATTGAGTTGAACTTCTTTGCTAATAAGTATGCTAGCTTTATAGCCTTAATATCTTTTAGGATAAATTCATAGTACAGAGAATAACTAAAAGAGGTGACACCATACTATGGAATCCTTTAACAAACAGGTTCTAAAATTACAAGTTCCCTTTAGCATTCCTTATATTATTATTATCGCTGATGCAAAAGTGAAGGTCTTTGCTTTTGGTTTGCATTGTGGTGACCAGCATCATGTTCCCTCAAGGCCTCTAGATGACATCCTGCTTGACTTTTTTCCATTCCCACCTCCCCTTTTACAGGAAATGTGCTCTGAGTGGTCTGTCCCGAGCCTGCAGGCATCGCATCAAATTGGGGGACTCCGGGAATTATTACTACATTTCCCCTTCCTGCAGGGCCAGGGTAAGTTCTTACAAGTAATGCCCCTGGCAGAAAATGATCTAATCTTCAGCCTGATACCATAAATGTGAATGCTTGCAGAAGAACTGTGTTCAGCTTGCTTGCATTTGTTTTGCCCTTGCTCCACCACCTTTGTTATGTACCTCCCATCTGAAGCCAACAGAGTCACCTGGCATCTTAAAGACCGAAGACCATACTATAGTCTGTGCTATTCATCATCTGTATTGAGCAGTGAGTGAAGATATTAGAAGACTTTGTAATGTTGCAGTGTTTTTATTCACTATCTATTAATCATCTCTCTCTCTCTCTCTCTCTCTCTCTCTCTCTCTCTATCTCTATCTCTATCTCTATCTCTATCTCTATCTCTATCTCTATCTCTATCTCTATCTCTATCTCTATCTCTATCTTCTGTCTATCATCTCCCCAAATGTTTTTCATGTTAGGCTGTTTTTTTAAAAAAATGATGCACAATTAAAGTAGAGCCTTCATTCACCAAAAGGTTGAATTGATTCCTGGGATACTTCCTATAGTGCATATAGGTGATAACACCTGGCAGGCCATGGCTGATCTTAGAAATCTAACCAGGGTCAGTCCTGGTTAGTACATGGATGGAGACCACCAGAAAATCCCAGGCCCGTAGGCTAGTTTGAGAAGTCTTTTTTTTTTTTTAAACCATCTTGGAGGAGGCAAACTAATTCCATATTGATGCTGAGAAAACAAAATGGACATGTCCATGAAGACACCAGAAGTTGAGCCTGGTTCCAGAATGACTTTAATTTTATGTTATAGTTGCCAGGGACTTCAGTGGATAAAATCAGAGCCCATCCACAAACCCTATCCCTCCAATTTTCTGCATGTGTAGAAAGCACAAAGAAATAATGTCATAGACATCTATTCCTAACCACAATGATTACCAAAAATGATGATACCTTTTCCTACTTGCATCGTACACTGCATGCAAGTATGGAGGGGCAAGGTTTGCACCACTTGCCCCCTCCTGTAGTTGTCTATGAATCATATCTGTACATAGAGAAAGTGATTCTAAGGGGACCAAATTTTTGTGACGGAGGAGGAGTTTCCAACCAGGGCTTGTGGGCCAGAAATCCTCCATGCCCTTTCTAAGGATTTCAAGCATGGCATTGTGCTCCTACCATCCCAGGTTTCTATTTTCATTTCTAGCCAATACTTAAGATGAGAACTAGCAGTTCCAAGGCTGAAGAGGGCTGTTACATAAATGTATCTCAGTCATCTCCCAAGGTCAACAGAACTATTAATTCAGGAAGAAGCTTAGTGTTTAAACTATAAAGCACAAATTTAATGTCTGTCTGTCTGCCTCTGGGTTCTTTGCACTGCAGTGGACAATTGGTGGCTTGTGAGGCTTCAAAGTGTCTAATGTAGCTGAATCATGTCTGGGGATCTTCTCTCAAACTTAGCCAAGAGCTGAATTATGGGTTAAATATCTGGAGACTTCTGATTTCCTGCCAGGCCTTGGTGTATAGTCTGACAGCAGCTGAGCATGCAAAGGCCACTTGGTTTGATTTTTTAAATTTGGGATTTTATACATATCTGCAAACTTAGGGCTTCCTCTGAGCATGCTAACAGTAATGCTCGGCTGAACATTTCTTCTGCATTTTTTTCTACCTTTCTCATTCAACTGGATGAAAATGAAATTGTTCCTCAAGGGCAAGCAAATTTCCATGAAGTCATGGGTGGAATGAGATGTTCTGCTTTCCTACACTTCAATCCCCAAAGAGATCAGCCTCCCTGGTTTCTTTAACCTTTCTGCAGTTCAATACAAAAGAGAAAATAATCAACCCTTTCTATATAATAAGCCCAAAATACACGACAAAAGACATTAGAAAGAAATTCTAAAATATTCTGAGAATGAGGTAGAATAATAGAAGCCATTTACTGGGTTCCAGGAGAAGAAAATGTTCAGGAAGTGGAGGACAGATTTCACCTCAGTATTAATATATCTATACCTATACACTCTTGTATATATTTAGTATAAATAATAAGTGTGCTTATAAACAGGTGTAATGTTTGTTCTCTCGTTCAGATTACAGCTGTGTGCAACTTTTTCACTTATATTCGGTACATCCAGCAGGGACTGGTGAGACAAGATGGTAAGACTTCTCTTCTCCTTTTCAAATGTGGAGGTTGGGCTCTTCCCTTTATAGCTAGCTCACCAGGTGCCTAACCAACCTATTAGATTATAAGTGGGACTGCCAAATCACTCCAAGCATTTTGGAGATTTGATAAAGGAGCATTCAAGAGAGAATTACTTTTTTTTCTTTGTAAATGTTACCCAAAGCAGGTAGAAAAGAAAGGTAATCTCAGTCTAGCTGTACAATTAAATGCGTGGTGGGTTGAAAAGTTCACATGCAGTAGGTAAGTGCATAAAATCAAGCACAGAACTGCAGAAATAAGATCAGGAAGGTGTATGTGATGTTAAGATCCAAGTTGGGATTTGATCCTGGCAGAATTTGGACTGTTTTTAGGCCAGTATATTTATTAATAAAAAAACCAGGCAGGGGTTCAACATATAGATGCCTTCCATTCAGTGAGGGGATAAGTGTGTTGGTGTAATGGGCAGAAGGAATAACCTTGAGAACAGGAGGAAGAGCCGCAACCAAAATAATGCTCAGATAAAAGAAATCTGAGTCCGGGGCAGAAATGTAATTTGAGAAAGTGGAGGGCTGACAGTGGTGGAAAAAGGAGAAATCATACTGTTAAGCAAAGGACAATGGTAACATCCCTCCCCCACTCTTGGTCCATGGGGAAGTAGCATTGCTAGTTCGTGGCCATTTTTGTGGGGCAGGGATTATGCTTTTGTGTTAGTGGATCATAGATGCAACACATTAACTCCTCTACCTAGGAAAGGGATCTCTCACTAAAATATGAGGTGGCTTTTCCAAAGGGAAAGGATAGGTTCCTCAGATACTTCTCATGGCTCCTGATCATTTGACCATGATGGCTGGGCTGATGAGTATTGGTCCAGAAGTTCAGGAGAGCACTAGGTTGGAGAAGGCTAGCCCAGAGCAAGCAGGTTTGCCTTCAGCCACAAGGATTTCTCATTTGCTTCCCTTTTTAATCTCTTTGTTTCTCTTTGACCCACAGTGGAATTGATGTATTGGGAAGTCATGAGGCTCCGGAAGGAAATGTCCATTGCCAAATTGGGCTTCTATCCCAGTGAGATGTAAATGGAAAATGGTGATCAGGAAGGATATTTTCCTACAGTTATTCTGTGGACACCCAGAAAATTGACAACAGAATGTCTGCTCATATTCAAGATGGCACAATATTAATTGAAAATGTAACAAGCAGGGGCTTTCCCTATTGAGTGACTGCCTCAGATTCCTGAGAGCAACTACTCCAGGCATATTAACCCATTGAATATGAGCTCTCTGGCGCTATGGAGTGAGGCCATGTTGGGACTCCTTCCTTTTTTTCTATGCATTCCTCCTCAGCCAGTATATAATATTCTACTTAAAAGCCACTATATGAATATATATATGTATGTATGTATGTATACATATAAATATATAAAAAATATTCCTGAGGCCTCGGCTGGACCTTGGGCTCATTACCCGCTTGCTACTCTGAAATCTAAATGCTGTTGGTCATTGCTGCATAGATAGAAAGATAAACTCTGCTGTTCCAGCTTTCCAAATGCCAGCACCCACTGAAAACTGTCTTCCTTGAGAGTTGTGAAGTGCAGACTCCTCCAGTATTTCTTAAGAGCCTGAAAGAAGTAGCCAGGAAAGGCATAACTAATGCTTTTGACTCTGGTTGTAGCTCAGGGTTTGCCTTTGAAGGATCCATGGACCCCATGCCACACTCTGAAGGCTGGCATTAATTCTAGGCCAATCCCAGTCATGATGGAAGAATGGGGAAGTGACATAATGGCTACCAACTCATGACTATGGACTTCTTTTTCATGTCATGGACGTTCTAGAAACAGCTCTTCCCACCTGAAATCATTCTTCCCCAAGGCTTCTCCAACTGTGCTTTGTTGCATTCAACATACTAGTCATAGATCCATTGCCATGATCTTCCTTAACCCCACATTTCAGCTGCACTCCTGGTTCTCATTAGACACTTGCATCTGGCCAAGTATTTTCTGAACTTAAGCATTCTTGTTTTGCTTTATTCACGTCCAAACAAAGATTGACCTCAGATACTGAATTTTCTAGCAAGTTATTAGAAGTTACGCAAATTCTGCATTTTTGAAAATGTGGGGGTTATTTGGATTTACTTGGTAAAACTTCAGTTTTGGTCCCAGAGTGTTGGTGAGGATCTCTCTCTTTTTGTTGTACTTTAGAGTATAATCAGACTTGACGCTGAATTTTTAAATCAAAGATCAAGATGACCTGTTGGATGTTAACAAAATAAAGCCCCTCTTCATTTTCAAGTTAAAGAAAGAACCAGCTTTCTCTTTTGGATATTATTTTGAGACTTCTGAGATAAGAACTGATACAGGCTTCCTAGAAGTCATACAATTTGCCTTGGCAGCCATTCCCTCCTACTTTCAGACAGAGTTGTTTAGTTGGTGGTTACTCATTGTGGAAGGCACCTGCTATTTCATCTTCCATCCATGAATAATGGCCATGAAACTCAGGTTTTGCTGGTAATCCATGAAGTCTCTATAACCAGAGCCTCCTGCTAGAATGAATTAGCAGATCATTTCAACTTATGTTACAGAGTGATTGCTCCACTGGTTCCACTGGGCAAATATCCCTGTTTGGAAGCAGAGTTTTGCATACAGTGTGGCTTCATTTTGTCCCCTGATGTTTGTCCCCTTTTCCTGGGTCTGGATGGACTTACCAGACTTTCAACTTTACCATCACAACAGGAGGAAGCCAAGATGGGTAGAGGCTGTCAAGTGATCATTGGTGGGTTGTGGGGATTCTCTTCTGAATGGGATTTGAAGCCACATCTGACAGTGCTGCCTTTAATCTCTGAATTGGACCCTACCATTTCTATTCTTGAGGAATTAGTGTTTTCTTCAGTTTGTCTTGAAATTACTAGCTTGATTTCACTACTACGATATGTTTATGAGCAATGGAGTAAGAACTCTTGGGTTTCATGGAAGTTACTGACTTGGGGGTGTTGGATAATGTTGCATATCAGTGGCTGTCTTCCTGGCCCTAGTTGTTGGAGTGGAACTGAAGATCTCCTGCTGCTTTGCTGTTTACTATCCCCTGGCTACTATCCTAATCACTTATAGTACCACTTGGGGGCTAAGGACTGTATACATTCATGCAGCAAATAGAAACTCTTCTCCTGAAGGATGTATTTGGGGAATATGCTGTTGAAATCATGTAACCAGGAGAACTAGCAATAACACTCCCTTTTCCTGCTGTAAGATTGCTGTACGTAATAGGACAGCCGCACCCACGTGAAAGACTAAATCAGAGTTTTAGAACTGCTTCTTTTACAGCAGGCACTGCTGCCTTTCTCATCTCACCACCCAGACATCTAAAATGCTCACTTGAGCTATGTGAGTGTATGAAGAGCAGTCGTTTGGGCCAGGGAGGCAGTTACTCATGCAGCATCTTGCAAAGACCTCGGAATGAAATTGGCAAAGGAGGCCTTAAATCTGTTTATACTCAGTGGTGAGCATGTATCTGATTACTTTTCTGTTGAGCTGTAATCAGATATGGACTTGCTTCCAGCAACATTTGCTTTGGGGACATTGACTTTCACAACTTTGCCTGCAGGGTGGTACAGGACTTGACCCATTAAGCACCTCAAAGCATTCTGGTGGCTTATATGCCATCAGCCTCCTCCAGCCTGGTGTTCTCTTGAGGTGTTAGCTGAGAACTCTAGTTCAGCCCATCTGGAAGGCAGCAAGATGGTGGAGAGTTCACTAAGGCACTGGGATAGGCAAGCAGATGATTAATTGATTTGATCTGATTAATGGTGGTGAAGGACAGCTGAAGGGTTTCCAGTTGCAATAGCTGGTCCTTGTAGAGATGGTGACTCTCTTACGAGAATGTTCAGTTTGTTCATTGAAAGGGGGTTTAGCATTGTTTTGAGTACAAAATTAACTGCTGTGAAGAAGTGTATCCTCTAAAATCTCACATCTGCACAATAGGTACTTCTCACACCAAATTCATTGCGAAGGCCCCCAGTTTATTTCACACTGGCTGGAGGTTCTGTACTGTAACTATTTACTTATTAATATCTGGTCCTATAAGAGATGACGGAAATGATTATATCAAGATGGCTTTGCTAGCTGCATCATTTGCAGCCAACTTTTCCCAAGTTACAAGAAGCGCATTGGTTGCCTGAAAAGAAAAAAAAAGCTCTTGCATATTACAGGCAGCTTTGAATCTTTTCTCCTGGTTGCATTACTCTCTCTTCCTTACTTGTATGTTCCTATTCTAATAACATATGCTGATTTCTATTTAATAAATAGACTCCAATGCTGACATGAAGCTGGTCCTGCCTTTAGAGTGATTTCTTTTGAAGTCTGCATGTTTTCCAGTGACAAAATAAACCAGGCATTACAAGCAGAATTGGTTGTGTATATATTAGTGTTGAAGCTTGAATTATTAGTTTTACTGCTTTAATAAAGAAACATCACTATGCCAAGTGTTTTTCCATACAGGCACCAGCAGTAGAACCCAATTCAGCTCACTTAAATACCCAAATCAGAATTGCACCCAGAACAAACCCCTGCCTAAAAAGCACTGGTATCTCCACTGGGGGTCAGAATGACCTGTCAGTTGGGGTATGACACAGTTAAGGACCAATTAACCATGGAAAGGATGCATATCCTGTTCAAGCTGAGACATCAAAGGCACCTAGCCCCAGAGTCCAAAACAATCCCTTTTGGCTTGCATAGTTCATAGTAAGACAAACAACCAAGGAGGAAAGTAAAAGCAGTATCCACTGACAATACCTTGACAGCGTTCTTTATTTTAGCATAAAAAAGGGCCTCACTTTGGATCAGAGGAATGGAAGAGGCACAGTCTGTACAGATTAACTACTTTTTCTATTAACTGCCTGCCTCCTCAAATTTCTTCCCATCAGATATTCTGCTGTGCGCTTTCCTGATGAGTCTCCCTTTGTAAGCATGCATCTGGATGAGTAGAAAAAGAGCTCTTTGTGCAGGGGAAAGAGAATGACTTGAGGTAGAAAATGGCTGTTTCATTCAGAACACACCCCAAGCATGCAGATATGTATTGTCCTCTCTAGGACTGAGCCTGGACTGATGTTTTTCTGGCATTTTGCTTCCTTGAGCATGAATCCTAAAAGCAAGGAAAGGGGATCTGTGAAGGACTTGTTCACAGGGACATTCAAGGATCTCCATATGCATTTGAATGTACCCCTTCCCTATTTCTTGGACAACGGACAGTGAGCCATCCTTTGATTTTATGCTCCTCGGAGTATTGCAAAATTCAAGACAAAAATTAACTGATCAGCTCACATTCTGATAGGCAGTTGATTGTCTATCAGACGTATGAGTGTCTCAATAATGAGCAAATGTGTTGAAATTAAGTAGCTGCTCATCTCTGTGCCGCCTAGTTCAGTACAGTTGCCCTGGCGAAGATTGTTCATGGCTTTCCTAGTTTTCTTTTCTCCAGTCATTCATGTGCTGTATGTTTAAAACTGCAGATGAATGTAGGCGTGGGCTTGCACACAGCCTGATGAATGAACCCATATGAAACTCTATAGATCAGAAAGAAACTGCCTCCCTGGCTTTAATTGGATTCTAGCTCCTGGTGTTTCCTTTTTTTTATCTTGCCTGTTCAGAATCTCTCTATATTTGTGGGCTCTGGGTAATTGTGAAAGAAAGTGAGAACTGTGATGAGCAATTGGCATTTTTGGAAGAGCCTGAAACTTTACTTCTTTTTTTTTACTACTTAGAACAGCCTGTTTCTTCCTGTTGCCTCTTAGATGCATTGAGCTTCAACTCTAATAATCCCCAAGCAGATGGGGTTTATAGGAGTTGGTCTAATGTATCAAAAGGACAATTAAGTTGGGAAGATTGGCTTTCTGGTTCTGGTACAATTGTAGTGGGAGCTTCTGGAACACTCTTACATGTAATTGCTAACTCCTGGAACTAAATCCTGATTGGGTTAGCAATACTATAAAAATAAAGGGTCCATTCTTTATTTAAAACTTTTTAAAAAAAGGATATTAAAGCAATAAAGTGACAGTGATTGCAAACTCTGAGATGCTCGATCTGAAGAACCATGTAGCAAAATTTCAAATGAGTCGGTCTTTGATATGATAATTCCAAGAGCAACAATTATCAACAGGTAGTTTCATTTTCTTGCTCAGGAGCAGCTAGGAAATAAATGATACAACAAGTGTTCATGTGTGCTGGCTGCTTGAATATAATATGCGGATTAAAATCATGGCTCAATCATGTTCTGGGCTGCAGTAATGCTATAAATGGGAAAAAAACTGCAGTATGAAAAGTCTGGATCCCAGAGAAACGCTGAAGGAAGGGAAAGGAGAGTTTAACATGCAGCAGATTTCCATATCACACAGGCTGATTTCCCTATGCCCATCATAAAGCATCTGTGTTTCAACTATTCACTTCTTGAACAAAAACTACAATAATAAGCTACTCAAAGTAGGAGCAAAACAAGTCAAGGGCTGGGTTCAGATATTGCTTGCTCTGGGATGGGTTTGATTGAATTTAAGTGAGATTTATTTCAAGGAATCATATACAGGATTATAACATATCTTGCACTGTTAAATTTTTTATAAATGGCTGGAAAAAACATTCAAAACAGTAGAGTCAACATGAGTGTCATCCCACCTGAATCTCTGAAGGAAGCCAGGTTTGTGCAATGATCTTAAAATAAAAATTACTGGAAACAACACAGAAAAAAAATCCAAAAAGCCACAGTGAGAAATAACAATTTGAGCTGTCAGTAAACATTGTCTAGAGATGAAATCAGTCACGTTCCCTCTCTTTGGATCTGCATTGTCATAGCCTTTTAGAGAGAGTGCAGCTTATTTATAGCGATAACCCTCTCCTGGGAGCCAAAAAATTGTTGGCTCTCAATCTCTACTTGCAGGTAGATAAGGGACGTTTACTACTTGCAGCTGTTGCCTTCTTATGTTCTAAGTAATCCTCAATTTTTAGCTCTTTAGTTGGTTTATTGAAGGAAGATGATTTAATTGATGTGCTCACTAAAGGGATTTCAGTCCCATACCATTTTGAACTCTTTCCCCTGCACAGTGGGTTTTGTTACCTTTATTGAGTCCAATTAAACCATCACAAAAATAGTTCTGATGCGGTGGCCCAGCAGCTTAATGACGCTGAAAGTTGCTGGCCAGAAATGGTCGACACTTCAGCGGTTCGAGCCCAGCTTTGCGCAGCAAAGTGAGTTCCTGCTTTCTCCCCAGCTCCTGCCAACTCAGCAGCTCGAAAACTTATGTGAGTAGATAAATGTGGACTCTCACTCCGGTGGGAGGAAAAATGCTGGCAGCGCCCTGCAAAGGAGACGGGAGCAGTTGCCGGTAACACAGAAGCCACGCATGCCCAAAAAAGGTGCGAAGCAATGGAAACCCCGCCTCCTGCGCTCGCCAGCTGGGCTCTGCTCTAGGAAGGAGGCTCTGGCAAACCACTTCCTT